CCCCCCACCCCCGCCCAGTCTCCATGGCTCACTGAGGTCCTTGTGCGCTCCCTCCAGGTGCACCACCAGAGGCCTGTCCGGCCCCTCATTTGATGAAGAATCCCGTGCTGCCACCCATTAGCTCTTTGTTTGGTCTCACAGGAAGTCTCTGTGGCCTCACAGAAGATGGGCATGTCCGCGCCTCCCTTCCACCCGCCGTCCCCAGGCCTGAACCCACAGCATGTGCTGATGAGATATTAGATATGAATAACGGATGCTGGTTTCAGGAACGAACCCCTGGCCTGGTGGGAGGGGCCAACCAGGGTGGGGGCTGGGGGCAAAGGGCACATCGATCCCCACCCAGCCCTCCCACAGCACTGAGTCCTGGAGAGTGGCTCCTGATCAACCAGGGACCCAAGGAAGGAAGGAACCAGGGTGACAGTTCCATGCAAGCCACGAGTTCACCTTGATCTGCTGCTCCCACGATTCTCCCATATCTGACACTATCTCACCATCACCCCGTGTACCCTGCTAGCCTCACCTCCAATCAGGGGCACAGGTAGGAAGACATAAACAGGGCACAGAGGGGACAGGGGTGCCCGTGGGGAAGGGGACACTCACCTTGAGGTTCCCATCAGCTGTGATTCGCAAGCGGTTGCAGGTCCCACAGAAATGCTCAGACATGGACGTGATGAAGCTGACTCGGCCTTGGAAGCCAGGGATTTTAAAGGCCTGTGGGTGAGCAGTGCAGGGGAGGGGGATAGGCAGCTGAGTGCCAGCTCTCTCCCTGACATCAGAGCCCTTACCTCTCGGCCCTCTCCCCAGAAGCCCTGCAGAAAGCAGCCCCCAAGGCCCTTGGACAACAGAAGACTCCAGTATGAAGCCCATGAGCTCTCCGCCTGCACCTGGCCTGCCCAAAACAAAGGCTACTAAAGATGTAGGAACCTGAGGGCAGCATGGCCAGGGACAGCCACGTGGAAGAGCCAGACAAGCACCGGCTCCACCACTCAGTCCAGTGCATCCTACAACAAGTTCCTTAACCTCTGCCCCACGCTGGGCCTGCTTCTGCGTCAGTGAAGCAGGGAGGCTGCTATGATGGCCCTGTAACACTTCCTGCTTAAAAGGCACTGTCCTGCATCACTGACTCCACCCCCAAAGCAGCCCCTGCCAGCTCTCCCGTCCTAGGGTGGAAGCACCACCTTTCTCCCGGCCCCATCCCTGCCCTCCTGCCAACCTTGGCCGTGCTGGATTCCTCCTCCGGCAGCTTCTCCAGCTCCGGCCACTGCTGCCTGAGGGTGTCCAGCATCTCCTTGTAGCTGACCATCTTCTTGAAGTTCCACTTGTTGCCTGTATTGGGGGTGGGAGCTACTGAGTCACATGCTGCGGGGACACAGGAGCTTCCAGCCCACCCTCCCACAGCCCAGGAACCAGTTCGCCGCCGCCAGGCCAGGAGGGCACAAGGTGCCTGAAATGGGTGGATGGAATCCCAGCCACACCCACTCTGAGACGCCTCCGACCACCATCGCAGCCCCGGTGCCTGCCCAGGCCCCTCCCCACCATCCCTGGAGAAATTCCTACACACACAGTGGTATCAGGGCCAGCAGCACCCACAGGGGCAGCCGGACCTTGTCGGCCCTCCTCAGCCTTTCCCAGGGTTCTTGACAGCCCCCCGCCATGCTCTCAGCGGGGCTCTGGTCCAGCTCTGCCGACAGGCCCGGCCTCCTCTTCCCCCACCCACCCCGCCCTGCGGCACTGACCGTCAAAGGGCATGTACTCTATGAAGCGCACGTCCAGGGGAAGGCCCTCAGTCAAGGCCACGAAGTCCAGGAGTTCGTCCTCATTCAGGCCTCGCATCACCACACAGTTCACCTGGTCCAGGGATAAGGGGACCACAAGGGCTATCCCCACTGCGTTCTTTTCCAGGGATGACCCTTGTCGGGGATCTGACACCTGCCTAGGCTCTCCACCCGGGGTCCCGTTCCTTGTGTCCCTCCCCCAGTTCTCCATGGGTTGGAAGATTCCATGGGTCAGTGGTTTTCTCCCCTCCCTTGTGGGGAGTGGGGCGCAGGGCTGGATGGAGCGGGCCAGGAAGTGGTGAGGGGTACACCACAGGTGCACTGGCCAGGGCTGGGGCCTGTCTTGGGGCCAGGAAGTCCTCACCTTCACGGGACTGTAGCCCAGCTCAATGGCCTTGTGGATGCCCTCCATGACCTTGCGGAAGCCTGTGGGGAGGGAGAGGAACAGGGTCCAGGCACTGCCTTCCTCTCCCCCACGTCCTCACACCCACAGAAAGCACCAGAGCCACAAGGAACCTCAGAGACCGCCGAGTCTGGGGACCAGAGAGTGAATGTTTCAGGCTCTGGAGGCCAAGAGGCAAAATTGAGGATATTATGTAGATATACATTGTAAAGATTCTATTGACTAAATTCAGAATATGGTAATAATTGAGTGTAATATTTGTAACAACACTCTGGAATAGAATGAAAGAGTGGAATTCTTTTTGCAGGGATAATATGTTGCTTAATTGGTATTCATGGTTAATGATCCCTGTCATTAAATTCATTGCAAATGTTATCTGCAAAATCCATTTTTGGCTCGAAGGCTGTAAGAAAAACAAACCAGACAGGGGGCTGGAGTTGGCTGGTGGGCTGTAGTGCATGGACCCTGATCTAGGTGAACCCCCTCATAGCCCAGACGAGGAAACCGAGGTCCAGAGGCAGGCAGGGCTCAGCTGGGGGTCTCGCACAGAAGGCAGGACCCCCAACTCCCTCCCGGCGCCTGCTCTTCACCAGTCCGACCGTTCCCCCACTCGTCACATTCTCACCGAGCACCTACCAAGCGTAGGTGCTGGGCCAGGGCTGGTGAGCGATTCCCGCGCACGGGGCTCTCTCCTGTCTCTGTGGTCAGTGCGGTAAATGTGATCCCAGGCTGGCTTCTCCTCCCCACCGCAGCCTCCGGCATACCGGCCCCTCCCCCACCCCCAGCCAGCCTCCACGGTTTCCTTGCAGCATTTTCAGAGTAAGACAGCAGGAAGAGACAGCAAAGGAAAGACTGTACAGCTTTCATACAGAATGCTGTTAGGATAATCTAGAAGTTCTCTCTTCCGTCAAGCCCTCTCCCTCCAAAAGGAGGCAGGGGACACAGGGATATGAATGGGAAGGCAGATCTGGCATCAGGATCTACTGTCTCCGATCCTCATTCCAGGAAGGAGTCAAGGAGGCAGGGGGCATGGGGAAGTGGGGCGGGGGGTTCTGTGGGTAAAGCTCACACTTATACCTTCCACCTTCCCACCTCAGAGCCCCTGCGGTTCCCGACTGACATTCCTCCTCAGAGTAAGCTCCCTTGATCTGAACACCCCATTCGTCAAGGGCCAGCATGAATGCCTCCTCCTTGAAGCCCTCCCAGTCTCCCCCTGCTGGAGGAGACAGCCCTAGAGAGAAAGAGTTCTCTCTTCCGCTCTGAAGTGCTTGAACTGACAGCACAAGACAAGCAAAGGTGGTTCCGTGGCATCACACCTTTCGGCCCTTCATAGCCTGTAAGGCAGGACAGTGTCCTGTGTGTCTGTCCCCTCCACAGCACCTGGAGCAGCCTTTAGAGGGCAAAGACACTCCCCGCCCAAGCACTTCCTCAGCACACTGCCAGATATATAGACAGGAAGTCACACACTGGGGGAGGGTGGAAAGAGGAGGTGGGGCTGAGAGCTGGAGGCTGTTTCCAGAGAAGCAGAGGGAGAGCTGGGTCTCCCCGGCAACTCTCTGATCCTACAGAGAGGTCTCAGTAGTGCACCACCCTCCCCAAATCAAAGGGCATATGAGCCCGTGCAGCACCCCCCATCCCAACCTGGGGCCCACGGATGGTGGGCGCTGGCCTAGTGAGAGCCGGGGCTCAGGCCCCTCCACTCTCCACTGCCACCCTCTCTGATGGAGCCTGGCAGGAGGAGGCTGTGGGTATGCTTGCTGCAGGGGGTGAAGGAAGAGGCTTACAACAGGATGGGCTCAGGGAGCATCCTTAGGTGCTGGGGGACCCTCAGCTGGCAGTGCTGGCCCTGTCCCTGGAACCCCAGGGCAGCTAGCTACTTTCACCCCAGGCTGCCCCACATTTCCTCAGAGCTCACTATAGGGTAACCAACTTGTCTCAGTTTGTCAGGGACTGTCTTGGTTTTAAAATGGAATGTCCTGTGTTCTTGAAACCCTCTCAGTCCTGGGCAAACTGGGGGCAGGGTAGGGGGAGGCTGGTCACCACAGCTCATTAGCATCCGATCCCAAAACGTCCCCAGGAGTGTGGCTACAGAGACGAGGGACCTTTAGCAAGACTGAGGGATGAGGTGTAAATGCCTAGGCTTAGCTATAGCCCAGACACCAAGAGGGAGACCAGGCCCCTTGCACCAGCCACAGCTCCCCAGCCACAAGGGCCTGGGAGGGTCACCATCCACCGTGAACCCCATCTGATCACCTTTCCTGCGGACGATGAACTCAAACTTGGCTGGTACCAGCGTGTCCAGGCTGATGTTGATGGTACTGAGACCAGCTTCCTGAAGCTGTGGCAGCAGCCGGGCTAGGTTGATGCCGTTGGTGGTGATGCCAATGGTCCTCAGCCCTTCCAGCTGGTGGAGCTGTGCTGGAGAGAGAACAGCAAGGGGTATTAGCCTTCTTGCTCTTGGCGAGGCCAGGAGAAGGGCTGGAAGGAGAAACTCTGAGCCAAATAAGATGGATGGAAAAGCGGCACTCTGCGGACCTCTATTAACCAGGCTTAGCTTAATAAGAAATATAAGAATAAGAAATAACCAAAAGATTAAACACCGAGTGCTCACTTTGCTAGAGTGCAGACGGGATCAGATGGATGAAGGAGACCGGAGCCCAAAGTGCACACCAGAGACGGTTCTATACAAAGTGGGAGGGTAACTAGCTGCACCCAGCTGCACCCAGCTTAGCAGTCACCTAGGCAAGGAGTGGGAGGGGCACTGGGCCTGTCAAGGGAACTATATATGGATGAGTTGGGTACGTTGGTCTCCCTCCCGTGCCTGTGAGTAGGAGGAAGGCAGCAGCTTTTACCCCAAGGCTACAGTACTTAAGCGAGCTTAAGGGGGTGGGGGCAGCCCTGAGTAGCTGCAGATACTCAGGAGACGGGATCTCTGGAGTCCAGAAGAACTTCACTTCCCTTCTCCACAAACTCAGGGGCAAACAGCATAAACAGATATAGCACTGACAGCCAGGCCAACAGAAGCCTTGGACACTGAAATGAGTACACAGCTAAGAATCAGTAAATATGGGCTTCCCTTGTGGTGCAGCGGTTAAGAATCTGCCTGCCAATGCAGGGGACATGGCTTTGAGCCCTGGTCCAGGAAGATCCCACATGCCTCGTGTGCCACAACTACTGAGCCTGTGCTCTAAAGCCCATGAGCCACAACTACTGGGCCCTCATGCCACAACTACTGAAGCCCACGTGCCCTAGAGCCCGTGCTCCACAACAACAGAAGCCACCGCAATAGGAAGCCCACGTACCACAACGAAGAGTTGCCCCCGTTCACCACAACTGGAGAAAGCCCACGTGCAGCAACGAAGACCCAATGCAGCCAAAAATAAAAATAAAAATATACATTAAAAAAAAGAATCAGAAAACACTTTAAAAGAATGCTGTGATATGAGGAGGGGGAAGGGTAAGCTGGGATGAAGTGAGAGAGTGGCATGGACTTATATATACTACCAAATGTAAAATAGCTAGCTAGTGGGAAGCAGCCGCATAGCACAGGGAGATCAACTCAGTGCTTTGTGACCACCTAGAGGGGTGGGATAGGGAGGGTGGGAGGGAGACGCAAGGGGGAGGAGATTCAGGTTTTTGTGAGCTGTTACAGAAAAATCCAAATGAACTTTTTGGCCAACTCAACAGAAGAGTGAAAGAGGAAGAAGAAAGGACAGAGATAACAGAAGATGACTCTTTCAAAAATCAGTTAGATAGGGCTTCCCTGGTGGCGCAGTGGTTGAGAATCTGCCTGCCAATGCAGACAACACAGGTTCGAGCCCTGGTCTGGGAAAATCCCACATGCCATGGAGCAACTGGGCCCGTGAGCCACAATTACTGAGCCTGCGCGTCTGGAGCCTGTGCTCCGCAACAACAGAGGCCGCGATAGTGAGAGGCCTGCGCACCGCGATGAAGAGTGACCCCCACTTGCCACAACTAGAGAAAGCCCATGCACAGAAATGAAGACCCAACACAGCCATAAATAAATAAATAAATACATTGTGTATTAAAAAAAAAAAAAAAAAAATCAGTTAGATAAACATAGATGCAAAAATCCTCAACAAAATATTATTAGGAAACCAAATTCAACAACACATTAAAAGGATCATACACCATGATCAAATGGGATCTATTCCAGGGATGCAAGGATGGCTCAACATCCACAAATCAATCAATGTAATACACCACATTAACAAACTGAAGAATAAAAATCATATGATCATCTCAATAGATCCAGAGAAAGCATTTTATAAAGTTCAACGTCAGTTCATGATTAAAAACTCTCAACAAAGTGGCTATAGAAGGAATGATCCTCAGCATAATAGAGACCATATATGACAAGCCCACAGCTAACATCTTACACAACAGTAAAAAGCTACATGCTTTTCCTCTAAGATCAGGAACAAGAGAAGGATGGTCACTTGTGCCACTTTTATTCAACATAGTATTGGAAGTCCAAGCCACAGCAAATGGAAAAGAAAAATAAAAGGCATCCAGATCAGAAAGGAGGAGGTAAAACTGTCACTATTTGCATATGATATTATACACAGAAAACTCCAAAGACTCCACCAAAAAACCATTAGAACTAATCAACAAATTCAGTACAGTTTCAGGATACAAAATTAATATGCAAAAATTCATTGCATTTTCATACACTAATAACAAATTATCAGAAACAGAAATTAAGAAAACAACTTACAGTTGCATCAAAAAGAGTAAAATACCTAGGAATCAATTTAACCAAGGAGGTGAAAGACTTGTACACTGAAAACTGTAACACGCTGATGAAAGAAATTGAAGACAACACAAATATTGATAAATGGAAAGATATTCTCTGCTCATGGATTAGAAGAATTGATATTGTTAAAATGTCCCATACTACCCAAAGCAATCTCCAGATTCAATGCAATCCCTATCAAAATTCCGATGGCATTTTTCACAGATATAGAACAAACAATCTTAAAATATGTATGGAACCATAGAAGACTCTCAATAGTCAAAGCAATCTTGAGAAAGGAGAACAAAGCTGGAAGCATCATGCTCGCTGATTTCAAACCATATTACAAAGCTATAGCAATCAAAACAGTATGGTATTGGCATAAAAAAAAGACACATGGATCTATGGAACAGAATAGAGCCCAGAAATAAAGCCATGCACATAGAGTCAATTAATTTACAACAAAGGAGACAAGAATGGAAAGGACAGTCTCTTCACTAAATGGTGCCAGGAAAACTGCATAGCCAAGGACAAATGAATGAAACTGGACCACTATATTATACCATACACAAAAATTAACTCAAAATGGATTAAATATTGATCTGAAACCATAAAACTCCTAAGAGGAAACATGCAGTAAGCCCCTTTGACATTGGTCTTGGTGATGTTTTGGATTGGACACCAAAAGCAAAGGCAACAAAAGCAAAAATAAGTGGGGCTACATCAAACGAAAACGCTTCCACACAGCAAACGAAATGGAAAGTCCACCTACTGAATGGCAGAAGATATTTGCAAATGATACATCTGATAAAGGGTTGATATCCAAAATACATGAAGAACTCATATAACTCAACACTAAAAAAAAAAAAACCTATTAAAAAATGGGCAGAGGATCTGAATAGACATTTTTCCAACAAAGATACACAGATGGCCAATAGGTATATGAAAAGGTGCTAATCATGAGGGAAATGCAGATCAAAATCACAATGAGATATCATTTCACATTTGTTAGAATGGCTATGATCAAAAAGACAGGAAAAAACAAGTGCTGGAAAGAATGTGGAGAAAAGGGAACCCCTGTGCACTGCTGGTGGGAATATAAATTGCTGCAGCCACTATAGAAAAGAGCACAGAAATTCCTTAAAAAATTAAAAATAGAACAACCATATGATCAGCAATTCCACTTCTGGGTATTTATCCAAAGAGAGTGAAAACATTAACTCAAAAAGATATATGCATTCCTATGTTCACTGTAGCATTATTTATAATAACCAAGATTTGTCCATCAATGGATGAATGGATAAGGAAAACGTGGTGTGTGTGTGTGTGTGTGTGTGTGTGTGTGTGTTTGTGTGTGTGTAATGGAATACCATTCAGCCATAAAAAAGAAGGAAATCTTGCCATTTGTGACAACAGGGATAGCCCTTGAGGGCATTATGCTAAATGAAATAAGTCAGACAGAGAAGACAAATACCATATAATCTCACTTATATGTGGAATCTAAATAAAACCAAAAAAAAAAAAAAAACCACACACCAAAAAACCAAACCAAACAATAATCATGGATGTGAACAATACTTATGTACAAGGATGTTGATTGGTGAGCAATACATAATAAAGGGATGTAGGAAAACATCCAGATGGCCAACAACAGAAAACTGGCTAAATTATGCTTTGTCTCAATGATGATGGAATATTATGCAACTAAAAATGACTCTGTAAAAGAATAAGTTAGGATGTTGGGAAATACACATGTCACATTAAATCCAGAGGGCAGGTTAAAAACAGTAGTTGAAAACTAGGTGCAAAGAAAAAAGACAGGAAGGTCCCCAAACCAAAATGTTGATAGTGGTTACAGTTGGGCAGTAGTGATACTATTTTTGCTTATCTGAAATAAACATGTATTACTTTTGTAGTAAGAAAATGAAAGTTTAAAAATAAAAGTTGTTGTTTTAAAAACAAAGAGAAGAACTTTCCTCTGGGACTCTGACAATATGGAAAATTAGTAGTAGTTTTTGGCTCCCTCCACCAAATCTACCCTGAAGAAACACAGAATCCAGGAACTTAAAAAAAAAAAGACAATCTCGAGAAACTCACAGGAAGATGGACAGTCCTTTTGAGCTGGTATGGGGGAGGGGGTGTGTAGCCTGGGGTTGAGGTAGACTGGCAGAGAATGGAAGCAGTTAAAGGAAAGCAAGGCAGTTCAAGCTCTCTCCTTACCCTCATCCACTGATGCCTCAGAACAATCAATGCTGTCCCCTTCCTGAAGAATTTGGTGGTAAGAGCTCCAGAGAACTAGCTTAGGAGGTCAGCTCAGGGAAGCTGCCAAAGCCCTGCTGGGATTCATCCCTCCACCCTCCCCCTCCAAAGCCCCAGGACTGGTGGATTAAAATGGAGAGTAACTGCCTCCTTCCAAATCTGCTTCTCTCTGAAGGTTTGAAGGTGAAGGTCTGTCATATTACATCATTCCAGGAGGTGCCATTCTCATCACATTCTAAGTCAACAGCATCTCCCAGAGTTATGCAAGTACACAACCTGCACTGTCCTACGTGGCCAGGCTGGTCACTGGTGGCGAGATTACAAACATGAGTGAATAACTGTGATTTTCTGGGATCTTGAGCTCACTGGGTCTACTGAAGACTAAGATCTGGCATTAAGCAGT